CTCAATCCTTTCTTCCCCCAGCCTGTACTGATACTGGGGGTTACCCCAACCCAGGTTCAGGACCTTGCACTTGGCCTTGTTGAACCTCATGAGATTCACACAGGCCCACCTCTCCAGCCTGTCCACGTCAATGGGTCTTCTGGCTTTATGGTGGCAAGATTTGGGCTGCTTTCTCCATCAGATACCTACCTGAGTGGGCTTCTCTTCCCTCCTGTCTCTCAGGGTGGGGCATGATATAGCTCATTTTTAGTGAACAAGGATTTTTGCTGTCGAAGAAAAGTATCTGGAGCAGCGACCTTCCCTGTTGAAGTTTCATTAATTGATGAGTCAGACAAATGGACGCTGGGTATCTGGCAATGAACTTCAATTCCATTAGGGAGCAGATTTTAATAACAGAATCAGAAGAGCAGCAACAATGCTTGGGGATTCAGTGTGTAGGTAACAGGCTTTTACTAGGCTATATGTAAAGCTCCTTGGTAATACATGTTTTTCCACTTCAGTTTCCAGGGTTAATGTTTCACAGTGCTTAAACTGCTGTTTGCTGCTCATGTCTCACCTGTAAAGAAACTTAACCAGGCAGCATGTTTCATTGCAGGTTTCCAAGAAGTACAGCGAGATAGAGGAGCTCTACCAGAAGCTGGCGGCACGATATCCACGGGCTTCTCTTCCGCTCTTGCCTAGAAAAGTTCTCTTCGTGGGGGAATCTGACATCTGTGAACGAAGAGCTATGTTCAATGATATAATGAAATTCATCTCAAAAGATGAGGATCTAGCAACAAGTCCTGAGTTACTGGAATTTTTAGGTAACTAAAAGATGTGAGTGTCCTCTCTCCCATGAATGTGCTTAATAAAGGCGTAATTAAGTTTTTGATTCGGGTAGTCAGAAATTAGAGAATGCCAGAATAAAGGCTGTCACTGAAAATATCCTCTTGTGCATCTACAGTGCTGCACAGTCATGTTTGCTAGTGTTCTCTCCTCTTCTCAGTGGACACATGCCTCATGCAGAAGCGTTGATACCACAGTGCTCTCTTTGAAGGTATCTATCCCACCATCTCCGATTTCCCTTAGGCGTATAGCTAAGCTGTGATTCAGAACACATAAGTTTAGTATAAAGCCTAAATAGCCATATATTGTCAGTGGAGAGATGGACCCTAAAGGGACAGTGCAGGGTCTTCCTTAGTGATCAATCATTCCACATTTTGTCTGTTTTTCATTCCTAATAAAATTACTAGGCCTTGCTGAAGAGGGTCCTAAAGCAAGTTATTGACCCTGAGAAAGATTTGAATAAAAGGCAGATTCTTTATTAGTTAAACCCATTCTCTGGCCTTTTTTTTAAAATTTTCCTTAGCCTCATGTCCAGCTCCTGTTGCCTCTTCCAGTGATTCATATAGTTTCTTTCTTATGTTCCTTGGGTGTAGCAGGGAGTCAGTGAATGAATGGAACAGATGGGCTCTCTGCTCTTAATTCAGCTGAGCTGCTGAGCAGGGAGGATTCCAGCCTGGTGCTGTGCAGGATTCTCAGCATAACATTAGTTTTAAGGAAATGAAGTTGCAAGGTGCTAGCAAGTCACCATGTGTGAACAGCCGATTTTGCAAAAGTGTCAAGTGTGGCCAGATCAGAAGTTTTGTGAGACTGGCAGCTTCCTAAAGTCAAAGGGGGCAAAATTGCGTAATATTTGGCAAAATTCTTTAGCTAATAAGATTTTGGATTTTTTTTTTTCTTTTTTTCCTGGCAATGTTCTCTTGAAAGTAGACCCCCTGCACAGAGAATTCAGAATTCATGTTGATTAACCTTTGCAATGCTGATTAACCTAACCATGGTGCGCAAGTCTACAGCTGAATTAGTCTGGACTGTCTTTATACTGTGGACAGATTGGGTGCAAGTAATGTGACCTGTTCATCAAAATCTGCCCTAGAATAATATAAGCCTCACCCTACCAAACAAGGTGGAATTCAGTACATACACTGCAGATCCTCAAGCTAGTGGTGTACCCTTTCCTTACAGATGCTGGAGACGTAGTCAATGGTTTCAAGGGTGTTTAGGGAGAATCAACATGGTAAAACACAGATGACTGTGGGGATAAGATAAGCAGCATCCTAACATCCACTGCCTCTCCTGACCAGCACTCGCTTGCCTATAAGGGGAGCACAAGACCATTTGCTTAGTGTAGACACCCACATTTAGTCAATGAAGTCTGCCCTGGGTGATTTAGTAGATGCAAGCAGATGCAGAAGAGCTGGGTGAGATGAGTCTCCCATACCATGATACTTCGACAGGCAAAAGGATGAAACCATTAATTTTATCTGTCATGGGTTTCACTAGCCTATTTTTAGTTCGTCTCAATATTTTAAATTGCTTTCCTGAACATCCGCTGCAAGAAATAGTTTTCTCCTCATTCTCCTGGGCTTTGCATCTAACAGGTATGGTGAGAAGTCTTGTCAAAGCTCATGTTTCAGTTTGCTGAAATTGCTCAGTTGGACAGATCTTGCATACTGAAGGGAGTTAGAACTTCAGTTTTCGTTTTTGAGTGTGAATTGAAGAGCTGCTGTTGAAACTTTTTCATGCTGTCCAATGTTTTAGTTTTAGCCCACAAGAATAAGATTAGTAACAAAAAGTGGACTTTATCTCAACTAGCTATGCGAAAGTTAGCTACCTACATTTAAACAGGGTATTTACAGCCTCTCTGTAGCCAGTGGAGAGAAATAGGCACTTCAGAGGGAAACTCCTTCTCAGACAGCTTTATTTGGATGGGATGAATGATCACGTGGAAATTCTATTGTTTCTAATGACTATGGAAGGAACATAAATAAGCAGATTAGACATGCACTGCTATGTCTCAGATAAAGTTCACTTCCTCTGTCTTCCTCTACTTAACTCCTTTAAATCAGTAGACAGATCAGACACGTAATGATACATCAGTGGATAGAAGGGACAGTCAGGAATGTTGGAAGAGTTTCACAAAAGCTGATCATGTCCTACATTCCCCAAACAAAACCATCAGGAACAGGTGCAAGGTATTAAATAAAACATAGTTGTTATCCTGTGTACTCAGTTTTGCATCCGCTATTGTGTTTTGCAGGAACAAAATCTACTAGTGCCATTGACTTCAAGGGTAAAAACATTCCGGATGACAAGGAGAAAGAAGATGAAGAAAATGAGGCATTGGATTTTTTCAAAGAGGAGAAGACACCTGACTTAATCTCACAGCTTTCATCATTGGAAAATGCCAAAAAAGGGGAGAAAGAAGAAGAGGAAGAGGAGGAAGAATTAGATCCTCTTGGTATAATCAGGTAGGGCTGGTAGTTCTTTGTTATTTAGTTTTTAGCCTAGTTTTCTAAACAAAAAAGGCTGGTCTATGTCACTGTCCCCTCATCCCAACATTTTATAACATCAACCACTTACAGCTGAATTTTCATAGAAGAGGAGAGGCCTCTGCAGTTCATGAAGGAGGTGCCTTGGTAGAGGGAAGAGAATCTGTAGTGGCTTCTTAGTGCATTCCTCAGGAAATCAAAGCGACAGAGGGACATTGTAAATGCTTTGATAGCAGTCTTGGCTACAGTAGGCACTTTACTGGCCACTGCAGGGTCCCACCACAAAACATAAAGCCACCAGGGTCCATCAGTTGTGTCTCTCTGGATTACACTGGTGTTTACAGTGTCTGGAACTGCTTCTGACCTCACCTGTGTCTACAAGGAGGTAAAATTATAGCAGACCAAAAGAGCCAACATTTCAATCATGATGTTCACAAATAGGCTTTTATTTCCTCCTTCCCTTATCTGAAGGGGAAGGTGTCACATGCTAAATGCCACTAAGGTATAAGCAATAACAGCTTGAGAGACAGTAATTGAATCAAAGCTTGCTGATGTTAGTATCTGGGTTTGCTCACATGTCCAATAATTTTCAGACAGTTATTTTCTTTACTTCAAGATGGAATTTCTTACTTGATTCCCGAAAACATTTTAACTACTGAAGCCTGGAAGCAATTTTAGTTTCTCAGTGGCTGTGATCATGAGTAGTGACTACTTTTTTTAGGGTATTTCAGGCTTTAGATGCCCAAGTAGAAAAGGCTCAGTTGTTCTTGATCTTCAGTAAGCCCTGACTGACTCAAGTGAATTGTTTCAGCCACCCACAGTCACCAGCCACTACTGAATGCTCTTTGTCTTGGACCCAGACATCGCTTTCAGAATGCTTCTTCATAGCAATAGGCAGTAACTGATAGTAACAAGCCAGAGCCCTCTCTTAGTGTTTCCCAATTACCTTGAATCATTTCCAAGGGGATCATTCACTGCAGGCGCTAAGCCGGAGTCTCCCACACTAAGTCAGGTCAACTACAATGACTAATACTGGAAGCGCCACTTGGACTTTGCTCCTGCTATTATAATCATATGTAATTGTTGATGTCCAGATATCGTCCTTTTTACTTGAAGTATTTAATCCTTTACATATCACCAGAAAACTTTAAATATTATTCTTTTGACAAAACATGTGCTTAGTTACTCAGCATCAGAATTATTCTTTTGTTGAAGAAGAGTTTAAAAAAGTTAAATAACTATTTACAATGAGAAGTTAGATAAAGCAGTACTTCCCACAAAATAGTCCTTAGCTGGTGAGTTTACAAAAGAAGCTGTCCTTTTTTGGATAGGAAAATGATCTATTGCGTTAGCAAATGCAACGTTGTATTTTCCGACTTACAACAAGTATAAGCTATAAAGAACTCGCTGTGCCAAAGCAAGCAAGAAGTTTGCTTTTCTGCTTTGCACAGTTTGACAAAACATTTGAATGTCTTGATTATTTTGGTCTTTCAATGCATTGAAGGATGACAAGATCTGGTATTTAATCCTCATGTAGTTTGTTGCTTCCGTTCCTTTAGAGAACAGAGTTCTTACTGAATCAGAATAACTTCACTTATATAAGAAGTACGGTCTTTACAGAGCTGCAGCATGACACGTTATGCAGTCAGATGTTTTTCACTCTAAACCAGTGGTTGAGGCAGAAGCATGAAAGTGGAAATGAGAACCCTGAATCTGATTTTACATTGTCTCTATTCTCCTGTAACTCACCCTGCTTTCATGGAAGATATTTTCAGTTTACATCGATGGAGATCAGATCAGACATAAGCAGCGTATACCAGCTTTATGCCGTCTAGCAATAGGTGTCTAGGTAAGAGGCCAAAGGCAGGAGCTTAGCTGTCAGTGGGCGGACATTTCCTGGGTGACCATTTTAGGGTGTCTTCTATGCCCATTAAAATGTTAGGTGCTTACATGCTTTAAAGATGGAGCTTGCAGGCTTCACAGCTTTAGTGCTTCAGATGTGCTTAAAGTTACTTTGGGATGGGGATGAATAAAAAAGGACATGATGCAGACAGGATTAAATATGTTTAGTAGTAAACTGCTCCCTAATGCTTAGTAAATTCAGTTAAAAAAAAATCCACAATCCTTTCCCCCGTGAAAAACCTTTGAAAATATGTAAAGTCAGCACTGAAACAAGCCAGTCCATTCCAGGCGGCATCGGTGGCCAGGGTGCTTTGCGCAGCAGAGCTCTGACCTAAATCGAATCATGTGTTTGGCATAATCTTACAGGTTTTTTTCTTTCTGGATGGGGATGAAACTGCTCCAGTAGCACAGGCCTCCATATGTTGTCAGCACGCTTCATTTGGTAACAACTTTTCCTCCTGGGCCAGAAGGCTGTGACTTGGATTTGGCCCAGCACTGCTGCTGTGCTGCGGAACCACCAGATACCCAGTTAAATGTACTGGCCTTAGGGGTAAAGTGCTAAACTAGGGTCTTTTTTTCTGGTTTTGTATTGCTGGTGATCATCCAGGTGGAAGCTCATAATGGTCTGGTTCCTTTTGACTGGAGGAGACATCTCAGTTGTGACTATTGTCTTCCTCACATTCAAGGCTGTGTCTGAGTTGCTCTTTCATGTCCGGTGGGCAACTCACCTGCCAATTCTGCTCTTAGCTTTTGTGGATATAATGATGGTCTACAAACTTTGTGTTTCTCTGCTATATGATTCTCAAGCCCAAAGCTTTCTTTCTGTGTTAGCAGCGTGGTCTTGGGCCACGTCTGGGATTCTTAACAACAGAAAGACTTGGTTTTTTTTCTTGTCCAAATCAGGGACATTTCAAAACCATAATATATATTTCTGATCAAGTTTTCAGCTTTTAACACCACTCCTCCTTTTTTTTTCCCCTAGGCCTAGTTCTTCCTAGAATAAGAGATGCTCAAAATTAAGTTACATTTGTGGGGTGCATTGTTGAAATTCATTTGAAATATATTTTCCAGGGGTATATCTTTTCTCACTGCTTTTCTTGATAGTTTGGAGTATTGTTATTCCAATGTATTGTCACCAGTTACTCTGCAAGTTTTCCTAGACATTTGTAGAAACCTTTTCAGCTTTGGGCAGAATATACAGGTCCTGTAAGAACAAGCACTCCTAATACTGAGTAGATGGTCCTTTGACATCAGCTGTGCAGCAGGGAATGGATATAGTATACTCACTTTTGCAGCAGTGGCACATTGCTAGCTCTATTTCATTTTTCTTGGCAGTGTAAGCGTACAGTGACTTGTAAGTCACAAGGCTCTCATAACCAAGCTACTCTTTTTAAATCTCTTTTTTTCTTCTCTTAAGCCATGATCATTAGAATATCCCTTTGTTAAAATGTTTTAATTCCTTTATAAGTGGGAAATCAGATATGTGTTTTACTCCACATCATAGGGACAATACAAGTTGTACATTGTCTTATCTTTGTCTCTATTGTTCTCCTTCAAGTGAATGCAGTACTGCTCTTTATCACTCTTCTCTAAATCCATCTATCTCAACGTATTCAGAAACATTCATTTAAGTGCTCGGTGGGTTACCACAGTGCTTTGACAATACACCTGGGATTTTAGAGGTGCAGTATCTTTTAACACTGCTGTCTTTTAAAGGATTTTCCTGCTAAATTACAAAATATTACTGTGTGGCTAGTCACGATTGCAGGGGTTCCTCCAACTGGAATGCCTTCAGGAATGAAAGAAGCAAGAATACGAGATCCAAAAGAGGCTTATCCTGCAAAGGGAAAGACATGGAAGACAGCCACAAGATGGAGGAGCTCTTCACCCGCAGCTAGGATATTCTTAATGATACTGCTGAAAATTCTGCAAGGGAAAAAGGTGTAATTTGCCAGTGGTTTGAGAACAGATTGGCATAGAGAGCCAGGGCGCGCTGGCCGAGGCCAACTGGGCAGTATCTGGCCATGTCTATACCGTTACATTCCCCTGTCCTCCAGATTACATTTGCTACATGCAGAATGCCCACTGGAAATGGCTGCTGGCCTGTGCTGCCTCGTGGGCAGTGATTAGGATGGTTTAGGAGAAGGCAAGTTGTCCCATGCCAGGGGAGCACCAGGGACTATCCTAATAGTTGAATTGTTGAACTGAGCTCTTGTGCTCAGGCCCAGGCTGTGAAGGAATTGCTAAAAAAAATATTATGGCCCTGAGCTCCTCTGCCCACAGGGGTTAGCTTTCTGCCTGCTGCCGTGTTTGCTCCCAGTCTGCCCTAAGGGTTCCTTAAGGTTTTGCTTTCTATAGAGAATTCAGGCAACCAGTTGTGGATTTTTTTAATTGATCCAGGCAGGATCAAGTTAGGCATTTCTATCTCTGAATCTTAAAACCATTTAAAAAACGCATCACAGTAACTGAATTGGGTTTTATCTTCTCCCTCTGTGGATCAACTATGGAGTTTTATTGTTTGTAGGCTGAAGCCAAGAGCTTTAGCATCTCTTTCCTCTCACTTTGTAGTTAAAAGAACCAAATTCAGTACTTGTATTCAGTTTACTCCAATAAACCTGAGATAGCAACTGATTAAAATGACTCGGAACCACCTCCAAACAAAGCAGCAAGAATTATGCAAAAGGAGCGTGACTGGGTTAAAGCATGCGGCAGCCATGTGCATGCATTTCTTCAGCTGCAGTTAACTTCTGAGGTAGTATTTGCTCACCAGCTTGGCAGGAACCACCTTTTCCTGTGCTTTCCTTTCCTGCCTTCATCAGCTCTCCACAGCCCTCGCAGGAACCTCTCCTCCACGTGTGGTTCCCTCCCTTCCGTCCTTTTTCCTTTGCCTCCCTAAATCTTCCAGTGACAGCATATCCTCCCTCAGCCCTGGGTTTTTCCTGGCAAACTGCACCCAGAGGTGGGTATTCCCCAGGCAAGAGCTCTTCTGTGTCCTCATAAGTCCTGAAGAGTTTCTGTCTCATCTCTCTACCTTTGCTATTGTTTGAGCGGATTTCCCCTCGTGGCTTCTTCTCATC